AGAACATAGACTCGTGTCGCAGCCGTGGAGCTATGACAGCATGCTTGCGAATCGCGTCGTCGCGCGCTCTGGTACAACGCTGGCCTGTATCTGAGCTGAGTTAGCCAAGGTCGCAAAGCCTGATGTGAAAGCGGAAGCTCCAAAGTTGGAATCAGAGGGTGGTGCATGTTCAAAGCTCATCTAAGATCGCAAGAACTATTTCAAGGTATCAATCATGAAATGGGGGAGGATAGAGGGGTGTGCGTGAACGTACCGTGAGCGCGGATGTGAGGTAAGGAAAGAAAGTTGAACCAGACGCGCAAGAAAATTGAACTTGAGGGTCCCGAAATCTTGGCGGATCTGCGCTTAGTCATCCACTTTTCTGAACACCATGAAATCATCTGCAAGTACAGCAGCGCTGCAGCACAGCACAACACAATCACAGACACGATGAACACGGACAGGAGAAGAAACAATGCGCCCAGCGGTGGTACCAGTGCGCCAGTGTTTGCGCGTACAATCAGAGAACCGCAGTACCTGGAAAAGTTGAGGCCGACAAGGTCAAGAGGCGCGAATGAGCTTCGCAGGATCTGTAAGTGCCCGAATGACCCCATGCGTCTTCCTACGCGCGGATGTGGAGCTCACCTGGATCGATGTGGGTTCCGGTAGCTATCAGCGAGCTGCATGTTGTCTGCAATGCGTACCTTACACATGTTCTGCTTCTAACACGTCCACAGTCCTCCAAACATCCATCATACCCTCAGCTTCAGGTTCCGCGTACCTCGAAATACCCTCCTCCTCCCCCGCGATCAAGTCGACTCTCATTCCGCCGACTTCATCTCTCAAGATCACGGCTTCTATACAAGGCCCCAAGCCTCTTCCCCGTAGCGCGCCCTTCAGTCCTTCGCTCCTCCTTACAACCACGGTTAAGTTTGCGCCGTTTGCAACACGACAACGGCGAGGCTACATACGCGATTCGGCAGAGCGCGACCTGGGAGTTCATCTAGAGACTGCGCTACGAGGTGTCATCATCGGAGAGAGATGGCCCAAGAGTGGGGTCGAAGTTGTAGTCACCATACTGGAAGGAGATGAAGATGGCTGGTGGGGAGACTCTGCTGGCGGGGGCAGCGCAGCCGGGAGTGGATGGGGTCTCTTGAACGTGCTAGCAGGCTGCATCACGGTCGCCAGCGCTGCCATAACGGACGCCGGGATAGACTGCGTCGATGTGGTGTGTGGAGGTGTCGCCGCAATCACGCGAAACCCCGAGTCAAGACAAGAGCAGGAGCTGGCTAGGATACTTGATCCCTGTCCAGCAGAACATAAACAGGTTGTTGCTGCCTGTGTAGTCGGATACCTGGCTTCAAGAGACGAGATCACAGAGATATGGATGAAGGGGGACGTCGGCTCAGATCCAGATGCTTTGATCGAGGGAGCCACGCATGCCGCTGTCGGCAGTCTCGCGGTGGTCAAAGAGGTCCTGCTCGAAGCGCTACAAGCCAAGTTTCGGGGTCAGATCGAGGCGAGCGAGAGCGGTATGAAAAGGAAGGCACAAGACGTGGACATGACAGGATGAGGCAGAGTGCCATAAAGCTTGTTACACTGTTTCCAGTTCGCAGCTTTGCACACACCAGATAGCCAAACTTCAGGCTGGCGCCTCAACCGCCGACGCAAGATCGTTGCCGACAACGTCGACCCTCGCCTGGTGGGTAAGCGTCGGAACGATCTACAAATTGTGGCCTTGTTCGTATGGCGTTCTCAAAATGCATAGCTTCGGCGTTCAAAACCGCCTGAGTAGGATAAGCTCATGCGTGTGGACCTCAAGGCCTAAACTTCGCGGCTAAGAGGGCCCACTTGAATCCACCTGGAGTAGACGTTGAGCCCAAGTGCAGAAACTACCTTAGCCGACGACATGTATAGAATACGATCTTGTCCGCCTGTTTCCGCAGTCGAGCTGGCGCTATCAGTGAAGACGGACGTGATGATACATTGACCTCAACCACAAACAATCTAGCCTAGCAGCGATCTGACAGCAGAGCCATGTCCTCAAGTCTCAGGCGCGCCATATCTCCCGCATGTGCAGTAAACATTGCCAAGGTGCATGTCGGAGCTTTGACCGCCATGATTGGTGCGCAATTGCAGGAAGTGGCTGGGGTGCAGCAATCCTTGCCACTTGTTTTGACAATGGCGTCACGATCCTACACCTCCAGCCTCCGACACGGCTCACAGATTGGACATATTCCTGATACTTTGGGAATAAGCTTGGGACGGCAAAGAACAAGCGTGTCGGTAAAGCCAGGACGAGTTCACGGCCCACCCGGAGTACGCTAGAGTCGACACTTTCAGAGCTTTCCGGGCGGGTCGCATTGGCAATGGCAGCGGCGTGGGTCCAGAGGTCATCCCGCTCCTGCTATCTAGAAGTCATCCTTGCCGAGATGGGATGAGGCAGTAAGCACAGCTTCCCAAAGCGCTGTCATGGGGAGCCACTGCCTGCTTGCGGCTGGCGAGGAGCAGACACATATCTGTGTTCGCTGTGCCACTGTCTCTCTTATCCTCTTTCCCCAGCCGATTTTGTCACTTTTGGTTTTTATCATTTCCAGCGGGCGACATATGCACGCCGTTCGTTTTTCTCGCTCGAATCACAGCACAGTAGCCGGCAAGCAATTCCGTCTTAGCTGCTCCTCCGCGGCCAAGATCCACTGCAACTAGTCTTGGTGCATAACATTGCGATACCAACCCAAGCGGCAATCTGAAGGATTATAAGGCGAGACAGTAGTCGCTGCAATCGCCCAAGGATTTCTACGTCTTTCGCTCTACGGTCGTCGTTGTAAAATTGTCCTTCGCTACCATGCCTTCTGTACGTTCCCTGCCTACAGCATCCAACCCATGTTCCTTGCATCGTGAGCCACGCTAACGTTTCTCTTAGTTCAGTCGCGTAGCCGCGCTGCTCCCCGCGCTCTTCTCATCCATCGCCTATGCCGTCCAGCCAGTCGAGATCCGTGGCCAGGACTTCATCAACACCGCCACCGACAAGCGGGTAATGATCATTGGCGTCGACTATCAACCCGGAGGTCAAGGAGCATACAATCCCACCAACAGCGAAGATCCTCTCACAGATGGCGACAAATGTCTGCGAGATGCAACCCTCATGCAGAAGCTGGGTGTGAACACAATTCGCGTCTACAATCTCGACCCTACGCTTGACCACTCCAAGTGTGCCTCCATCTTCAACGCGGCCGGCATCTACATGATCCTTGATGTCAACTCGCCCTTACCCGGAGAGAGCATCAACCGCGCGGAACCATGGACATCCTACAACAGCGACTACCTTACTCGCGCGTTCGGTATCATTGAGAACTTCAAAGGCTTCCCCAACACCATGGCTTTCTTCTCTGCGAACGAGGTCATGAATGATCTGAGCACTGCTGAATTCAACCCCCAGTACATCCGGGTACGTTCGATTATCTCAGCCAATGATGCACGATAAGATAAACTGACAAAAACACAGGCTGTTCAGCGTGACATGAAGAACTACATCAAGAACCATGCCGACCGCACCATCCCAGTCGGATATTCTGCTGCAGATGTCCGCGAGATCTTGCATGATACCTGGGCTTACATGCAGTGTATCCACGACGAGGACGAGTCATCCTCTGACTTCTTTGGTCTCAACTCCTACAGCTGGTGCAATGGCGACAACTATCAGACTTCCACATATGATGGCTTGGCTACTATGTTCGCCGACTCTGCTGTTCCCGTCTTTTTCAGCGAATACGGCTGCAACCGTGTCATGCCTCGTGACTTCGACGAAGTTCAGGCCCTTTACGGCGATCAGATGAGGGCGCTCTCTGGAGGTCTCGTATATGAGTACTCCCATGAGGAAGCAAACTACGGCTTAGTCGAGATTGACCAAGACGGCTCTGTCGCACTCATGAAGGACTACGACAATCTCCAGAGCCAATTCAACAAGCTCGATCTTAGCGCCCTTGAGGCGACCAACCCTCAGTCCACCGAGCTCAAAGCCCCCGAATGCGACGGCAGCCTTATAACCGCGGAGCAATTTAGCAAAAACTTCACGATTCCAGCTGTCTGCCCTGGATGCCAGGATCTGATCGACAACGGTATCGAGAACCCAACAAATGGCGCGCTGGTGGATATTGGTGACACCAACGTCAAACAGAAGGTCACTGGTAGCAATGGCCAGCAAATCAACGACCTGTCGCTCAATGTTGTGTCCAACGATGGGTCTAACACTCCCGGCGGCGAAAACACGAGCCCTAGTGGCACCGACTCGGGTAACAATGACAACCCCAGTCAGACGGGCGACGCGGCGCAGCCTTCGGAGACTGAAGGAGCAGCTTCGCACATGTCCTTCAACTTCGGACTAGCTATGATGGGCGTGTTCGTATATATGCTCACTTTGTAGTTCTATTGTCCGCGTTTTACAGAGCGACCAAGCTTTTGGTTCAGTCTACTATGCATAATAATTGCGACATTCTGGAGGACGAGGAGGGATGAACTGGACATGCGTATGAACTAATGAAGTCAAATCGGAAGAGGAACTAATGGCGTTGCTATTCTTGTACATAGTTGGGATGTGTATACCCTTATCGTTTTGAGACGCAACTGTTTCCGGCGTCTACACGCAATATTACTTCCTTACACACGAGAGTATTTCTTCACACCTTCACTTTCATATGCTTTGTTTGAGTATGTAGGCTGACTTTGTCTTGCTGTATGATTCACGGCTAGTAAAACCCAGACTATGCGTGGCTCACTGGAATGTTTGGCAAGCCCACGTATAGACCCAACTTGGTCGCTCGATTAGCCCTCGTGACAGCAATGCTCATCGTCAGGACTGTTGATTTCATGTGTTTATCAATCAATGGTACTTTTCTGTAGTCTGGAGGCGGTGGCCATCCACTATACTGTATAGCCTGCATCGCATCATGATGCTGACCATGTATGCTGCGCATGTCTCCTCATTGCCTCATATCGAAAGGAAAAATACCACCGAGCCAGGCCTAGATGCTCAAGCCCATGGCCTCTTTCATCAGCTCCTCCTTCGCCTTCACCACCTCCTCATCCTGTTTGCCCTCGCCCTCCCCCTCGTGCACGCAATCACACTTATACTTCTTCCTGAACTCGTAAGGCGGAAGCCCATCTAGCTTCTCCAACGCTCCATGGCTGGCCCTCACACGCGCATACCTGCCGCTCTGGCCCAGGGAATGGAACCACACCTTCCCATGGATCATGACCATAGCGACGACAGCCTTGCCTTTACCGGGAATGAGCGTCTCCGTCTCCATGGCACCCATGCGCCATTCGCTACAGCCGAAAGTGATACCGAGGAGGCGACTGAGACGGGTGGTAGGGTGGTTGGAAGCGAAGTTCTCGTACGAGTCGAGTGTCATGTTCTCAAAGAAGGGCTTGAGATGCCTATCGAAGAAGTCTTGTACGACGCTGAAGTCGAACTCTGCATCAACGAAAATGGCGGCTGTATACGCTTCGATCACGTCGGCCAAGCACTTTGGTGGTTCGCTGATGGTGACCCAATAGTCAACGGCACCATCCGCTTCTCGCTCTGCTTCTTCAGCTTCCAAGACGTAGTCGCGGATTTGGGAGCTCAGAATAGCGGTGTTCTGCTTGATGTGGACATGCCAACCGAGCTTTACGCACACAGCGCCTAGGAACTTGTTGGACACCATGGGTGTTTTGTGTTCCGTGAGCCACTGCGGGTCCTTGTCTGGGTACTTGTAGTAGAGGTGCATGATGAACGCCATATCGAGAAGAGAGTCACCTGTAGGGATAGGAACATTAGGTTAGCGTAATCGTATGCACAAAATCTGCATGAAGACTTACCCAAGAACTCGAGTCGCTGATAGTTGGGTATATTCTCATACATGTACGGGTATGAGGGGTGGGCGAAGGCAGATCGAAGGAGACGTGGGTACTTGAAGTGATATGGGTGCACCAGCTCAATGTTGAAAGCGGTATTGAGCATCGCTGCGGTGGCGTCGGCAACTTGGTACTTGGGCTTTTGATAAGCGTCGTAGTAGTCTGACCACCTCGACATCACATGATCTTGACTGTTGGCGAAAAGCTTGACAGCTTTAACAGTTTCGTCCCAGTCTTCGGGGTTCCATCGCCCGCCCCGGTAGTGCTGCTGGAAAGCAGCACCGATGAAGGCCTCACAGACGTCCGCGATGCTCTTGTCGCCAAGATTATGCGTGAGCTTCAGCCAGTCGTCTTCAGTCTTCTTCAAACCCTTACCCCTCATGAGCTTCACCCCTTCAGGATACCATGTGCGCCTATGCAGATTAGATCGTGTATAGCAATGAGTAAATATACTGTACATACCTTGAGAAGGCTTCCGTGCGAATGAAGCGGTACAGCTGAATATCGCGTTCAGTTCCATCTGCGGAGACCACCAGCTTCTTGCCCACTGCAGTCTCCATCAGGTTCTTGTTGCAGAGCATTTCCATGCGGCGGACGTGGAACTCGAATTCGTTTTCATCTGGCTGCTGGACAAAGACCGAAAGTGAGGTAGCCATCTTCAGGAAGCAATCCCCTAGGAATTCAAGACTGTACCATATTAGCAGGTGAAATCTTGAATAATCCCAGTACCTACCGTTCATAGTTTGGACCCATTCCGCTCTTGAAGTTGATCTTTTCTTCGCCGTGCTCCTCGGAGTTGTCGGAGTCTTTAGTAAGAGCTTCCAAAGCAAGCGCAGGGCTGACGTTGAGACCGAGAACTTTGCAGGCGTCCAGAGCAATGAGATAACTCTCAAAGCGATGAATGAGAGCCGGTAATACGTAGCACATGACCACAAATCGTATCGAAAGCTGTGCTGTTAGCGATGTTTTCATACGCACAAGCCGACGGGATTCTCACATTAGACACGTGAAGAGGCTCTGGACAGATGTAAGTCTTCAAGTCATCGAACTCACCCTTCTCTTTATCCTCGACGCATGCAAGATGGTTCCGACGGAAAGGAATCTTTTCCACCTCAAGAACGGGCTGCGAGGCATGCCACTTTGATATGTCTCTACTCTTTGCCCACCGGCTGTCGCTGTAGTCCAGAATAGTGGCCATGAACTTTTGTCCACTGCGAGGTAGACCTTTAGGAGGCGGATCTTGTGGCTTGAGATGGGTTGCGAGGTCGTTGGAGTAGTAGCGTCGACCTCCATTCATTGGATCTACGAAGTAACGATCTAGCAAGTCCTCAGACTTGGTCTCGGGTGTCCACTTCCAAGTGGGTTCTTTGCAGACTTTGCGAATTTGCTCCACGTCTAGGATTTGATCGAGAGAGGTAACAGACGAAACAGAAGACACATGGCTCGGAGTTACTGGAACAACCCAATAAGATATTTTCTGGACGTCTTCCTCGTACACCTTGTTGTAGATATCCTCGTATATGCGTAGAGTAAAGATCGTGAGAGCTTTTATCGTCTCGGGCGATACAGGCAGCGGAGTCGAGACAGATTTGGATACGACATTGGAGGGCCTTCCATCCGTGAGGTAGATAGGAAAATGCGGCATCTGCGGGAATGGAATGCGAGTGAGGAGACCCATAGGCTGATGAGGTCGGTCTAAGCCAGCGTCAAGCTCGATGACGGTCAGGTATAGAAGCGTAGGGACAACTCCGCGATCCACCTTCCAGAAATTTGGCTTGATCAACATAGAGTACATACCCTTCTTCTTTTCGCTAAGCGCTAGCAGTGCATTTCTCCCAGCTGGCAAGCTTTTGCATGTTGTTGGGAGGAGGTTGTCATCCATATAGCCTTTGGTGTGAAGCATGAGGCATGCCTTGTAAGCGGCAGAGCATTTTGCGATAGTTTTCCTGCTTTGAACGTCGCCAGTTACCGAGACCACCGGTGCATGTTCCGGTAACATTACCTCGCAAACAAACCCTCGCCGCTGAGAATCCTGAGCATCATAGTTGACCTCAGGATTGATAACATAGGTTGGCTGGAGCATGGTCTGTCTGTCGGGGCCGGGTAGCGTCGCTACGAAGTGATTGAGGATTGATAAGCTCGAGCGATATGTGAGCTTTGCACCAGACTTTGTAAAAAAGCTTGGATACATCTTGTCTTCGAACGACAACATGTCAACCTCGCCTCCACCGATCTGACGGTCTTGGGGAAGAGCTTTGCAGAACTTCCTCATGATACCTTCCTCGAACTTGACGTCGAAAACCCGGCTGCGATGGTCATCGTTGCCCTGCTCAATCATATGGAGATACTTCGAGTTCCTGTGCCGTGCTCGGCCCCGAGACTGTACGTACGCTATCATGGTACGATAGAGGTCGAACCGCACGACAAGGTTGCATTGAGGGATATCAAGGCCTTCTTCCGCCACAGATGTAGCAAACAGACAGTTGAGTTCGCCGCGACGAAACTTGGCCACCGTAAGGATCTGGTTCCGTAAAGAGATGTTGTGCTCTCCAGCACGATTGTTGACACCGACGAGCACGTTACAGCGGAGGTTCGGTCCACCGATCTGGGAAAAGATGAGTTGAAGCAGCCGAGCTGTTTGCCGTTGCTCAACGAAGACGATACAACGTGCTTCATCGCCGCGTTCGTAGTATAGCTGGAGCCAGTGGTGAAGTTTCAGAACTTTGGAACTCAAATCTGTGTCGCTCAAGGTACACAAACCGAAATCGAACTGTTGTACGAATGTGGCCGCTTCCTGTAAGCGCTTGGACTGGGCGTCCCACTCCTGCGCGGCGTCATCTCGCTTAGCCTTGTTATGCTTCAAGTGCTCGCGATCTTCGAGCTTGCGGCTCTGCTCGTCAGCGAAAGCAAAAGACCAATACATGTCAGACGCCCAGCGTCCGAGCTCGGAACCGTAGCGCTTGGAGGCCAAGAATAGTTTCTTGAATGCCGGTATGTCCCCATACTTTGCTTTTATCTCTTGGTGCAGAGGCGTCTCAAATTGGTCTTGTAGCCGTGCATACACTGCGATCTCCTCGGTAGGCCTGCTGATACTGTTCGAAGCGAGAGCACCCTCCGAAGTAGTGACGATCTTGGAATGAAGTAGTTTCTCGAGGTCATTGGCAACTTCTTTGATATGATCGACCGACAGTCCCTTTGTGTCAATCGGAGAAGCTGTCATGCCAAAGATCCGAGGTCGATGGGAGGGGTCCAGTCCGTGTACGTAGTAGTCCTTCATCAAGCGAGCGTAAGGATGGTTATTCTTGGCATGATGAGCCTCGTCGAAGATGAGGAGGTTGATCTGAGCCATGGTAATGAAGGAGTGCATCATACACTGAACAAGGACCTCGGCTGTACATACAATTACCATGTTCTTCTCGTAATGGCTCTGCCAAGTCGCTTTGGACCAAAGCGATGCGCCCATGGCGCCGCATATGCCCTCCACTTTCTGATCAAGGCCGCAACGCAAGACATTTGCTTGTTGAAAGACCAGGTTGACCGAGTCGACTAGAAAGAAGGCGATCTTGTGGATGCCGCCTGCGGCCCGGCGCTCGAGCTCGTCATTGAGAACATGCTGTAGAAGTAGAGTTGCGATGTGAGTCTTGCCGGAGCCAGTGTCCAAGACCGCTATCACGTTCTCACTCTTGGCCCTCTGAAACAGTTCAGTCTGATAGTCGCGAGGGTTCGTGATGCGGACTGTGCCCTCTTGTCTGGCGAGTATGTCGCGGATCGACAGCTGCTCTTCGTTGGCGGTCTTTGCAGCAGCATCATCAACTTCCTTCTGTGTCAAGTGAGAGCTGATGTTAGCAGCAAAGGCCTTCAGGACGTCATTCTGCGCTCTGCGCCTCTCCGATGTGGTCTTCGGCCCATGCGTACGTGCGGTGTCATCATCGCCATCTGGGTCTTCATCTGAGCCTCGCTGGCTCTCATCTTTGGTAGCGGTCTCTTCAATGTCAGAATCGGATGACGAGGACGAGTCGTCGAAGGAGTGGTAATGTTCGTCCTTCTCGTATATTATCCAAGTCATGCTTGTCGTGGCGCAATGCCGTGGGTACAGTCGAAGCTTATTACAGGTCTGGAGAGGTAAAGCCTATGGTGAGTGTGATTGAAAATCGAGGGCAAGAGCGTGTTGCTGATATTTGCGCAACTGTCGCGCGTCTTGCTTCGGGCAAGAGAGCAAACAAACAGTGTAGGTACCCGACGCCGCATGCTCAGCCGAAGCCGCACGTGCTGACCCAATCAAACAGCCGCAGCCGTTTGAACATGCCGGAGATATTTCGCAGCATACCAGGCGTTTGTCACTGTGGTGTTACCGCTTTCACAGACGCGGTGTGTTGGCGGCGATAGCGGGGTACGCGAACTGGGAAGGGGCAATGCTGACTCATCAGCATCTGCTCACGCTCTCACGTGTATCCCCACTACCATTTCCTCAACATCACGACAATTTTCCGCTCAAACGCCACTACCATGACGAACGAGCCGCAGAGTCTACGAGGTCTATTCTCAAAGGCGGAGAGGGCGCGCGCAGAGCTCTCTTCGTCGTACGAAGCAAACAGTCCGACCTACCAGGAAAACCTTAGCGCGACAATCGCCACGTACGAAGAATGCCTGAAAATATCCGAGCAGGTGTCGCTTTTCAGTCCGAATGAGACACTGGAAGACATATCGTCGTCTGATCTACAGTACGTGTTATGCTACAACCGCAAGATACCGTGCACGTGGGCCCTCGCTTACCCTTCTAGATACATGGCGATAAACTACCACTTGGCAGAACTCGTACAGAAGATCTTCAACACCGACGTAGCCTTACGGAAGCAGAACCTACTGCGGGCACGGGGACACTATGAGCGATTTCTCAAGCTCTTAGATTCCTATGATGTGCTTGGCAAGGCAGATGCGAAACTCTTCGAAGTCTACGCGGAAGATAAGAACAACTTCTCTACCGCCAACACGCGGGATGCCGCGGCGAGACGGGACGCAAAGATTTCGCGATTCAGGGAGGAGAAGGAATTGAAGCGGAAACTAGAGGTATGTGTCCACACTAACTTTGCTTTCAAGGGTCGAACCTAGAGCTAAGGCCTGCAACAACAGTATCTGCGACAGAATCCCAAACTTGCCGAGCAGGATGAGCAAGTGGTACGAGAGTTGCATTTGACCAACTTGGCGTTCATGGTGCATCAGACTTTCGCTTCGTTGGAGTCAATGGCTCAAGAACTGCACATCATCTCGCTAGCCCCACCCGCGCCCCCACAAGGACAGGAACAGCAAGCGCCAGACGGCCGACAGGACGGCAGAGATAAAGACGGATACTCCGAACGCCTCGATGGTCAGTATGGCGGCCTGAGATATTCCGGCCCCATCTTGAGCGGCGACGGCAAACCCATGCGGCCTTTTACGCTATTGGATAGCCGTCAGACCCTAAAGAAGAACGTTTTCCGTCCGGATCACAGCCTGCCAACTATGACGATTGACGAATATCTAGAGGAAGAGAAGCGCCGGGGTGGCATGATCGAGGGTGGAGGCCCGCAGTCTGAGATCCAGGCTGAACCGAACGAGGACGATCTTGTCGCCGCGGACGAAGAGACGATGAAGCAGCGAGCGTGGGATGAGTATGTAGAGGCGAACCCCAAAGGCTCGGGTAACACTTTGAACAGAGGTTGAGCGTGGTTTGAGCGGCAGATCAGATACCCAGCAAAACAAATGCACCACCAAGGGAAGACTTTACAACTTCTCGGCTGCTAACTCCGGCCACTTTGCCGTCACCAGCTCGTACAGTTCCTTGTTCAGCACTCCGTATCCCTTGACATTGAGATGCAGCCCGTCCGTAAACCAGCCCGCTGGGAACGTCTTTGCGCCCAATAAGCCGCATCCCGGTGGCACATCCTGATCGTACTCCCATCCTTCTTCTGCAATGACTGCGTCCACCATGTGCTGCCAGTAGTTGAGACCAACGACTCTGCCCGTCTCTTCGTACTCTTTCGCGATCTGCATAAGCCCATCTGCATACCTCTTCTTACTCATGTAAGTCTTGTACCTTGGTCCTTCCTTTCGTGACTCATTGATCTCCTGTATTTCTCTTGCAGACCTGCTTTCTCCAGTATCTACCACAGACCCATTGATGGGTGGGGGCGTGATCAGAACTATCTTTGTGTTCTCCATAGCCTGCTCCGTGAGGATGGTGTCGAGGAACTCCCGTATGTTCGCTGAAAAGGTGGGCCAGGGAACATACTCCTTCTCGCCGATGAAGCAGGCGTCGTTTGCACCGAGGAAGATGGTGAAGAGGAGGGTCGGTGCCGCCTCAGGGGCTGTTGCGCTGCTTATTATACGGGTAAAGTCTGCTTTCAGACGGGTTGACGTGTAGCTGCGTAGTTGGTGAGTGCGCCGACCGTCAACGTTAATTGGGGTTTGTACCCTGCTTTGCCTATCGTGCTTGTCAGCATCGGATCTGGGCTTTCAATGTTGTTCTTGCTGCTCAACGCGCTAGCATATCATGCCGTAGTACCTTCATTCACAACCCTTGCCTTCCCTAGGTACTTATTCCCAAGAAACCATCCAATCCCTTGCGTCTTCTCTTTGAAACTCCACTCGGTCATGGATGCGCCAAACAAGACAATCTTAGCCATGTTTGCAGCTCGTCTGATCACTCAGTTTGAAAAGGATAAACGAGAAAGCGTCTACGCGAAATGCGGAGTGAAAGATGGTGGGAGAAACTCATTCGCATTACCTTCGTTGACGATCCGTACCTTGTGCTGATACTGTTGCCTAAGAAACAACCCGAAGCCTTGCGTTTCCTCGCTAAAGCTCCATTGGGTGAGCGAGTCTCCGAAAAGCACAAAGTCTGGCATGTTGTTTGCGACAGATGAAAGCGATGCAGTGATTGGTCGTTCTTTTCGTTTCCAAAACGCTTTCTTGAACATTTCGTTGAATGTTGGGAGGCTCTGCTCCATCCCAAGTGCTGAGAGTGTTGGCGCGCGCAACCCGATGCGGCACAGTCAGGCGGCGCTAATGCACGTAGCACGTGTAGCTAGCACACCTTGAGGGCTGGCTGGCGTTGGGACGCGTCTTGTTCGCGTCAGTTCATCAATCGCGGTCCTGCATATGTTCGATGCACAGAGCTATATCACAGAACTCGAAATCATAAAACCACGACTTCTTACGGGAATTATGGATCTTCGCCACTGCCGAAGCGGTCACGATGACATCACATCTTCGTGCAACGATTGAATCCACAACACTCGTCATGCTTTACGGCATTTCCAACACGACTTTCTGGAGACCACTCAGCTTTACGAATCCACCTAATACACAATTGAACGCGCTGAACCAGTATATCACGCAGCATACGACCATCTGCCAAACATGTTGTCTATCAGCCTCCGCCTCCGCGCGCTCCAGCGCCCTGTCGTATCTCAACTCCGCGCCTTCACCACTACACCCAGCTATGCAAAGCTGATGGACACGCCCAATCCTGCCTCCAACCTCCCAGACCCTTCTGAAAACTCCTCGGCCGCACCAAACGCCAAGATGCGTTCGGACACGCAAAACACCGACCAGCAATCGAGTGCGTCGCCTGACGAGCACAAGACCGGCGACGACCATCCGGCGAAGCAGCCAGATCACCAGGCGCAGCCTACTCGGACGACGGGAATTGGGGGCGAGACAAAGGTGCAGGGAGGGAAAGAGGGATTGGGCGAGAGGGGTGATAAGCAGTAGACTGGGAAGAGGAGACAGGACGGGATCTATGAGAAGGAAGGAACAGAAAGATCGATGTTGGAAGAAGGGCACCAGGTGGAAGAACGCGATATACGTCTGTTTCCGGTTTAGCCAAGCGATAGCTGACTTCTCCAATCTGACGTCTCATGTCATAGTTCCAGTACCCGTCGTTCTGGCATTGTGCGTCACAACACGAGCGAGATGCACCGACAACAGAAGAACTTGCGTTACGACAGCTCACTCGTTCCACTTCTTCATGACCGAGGCTCATACTCGCCGACCTGTCCGGCTCTAAGACGTAGTTTGTAGTAATACAGCGGCTAGGTCGCCACTACCGCAACAGCTCAATAGGTGGATAAGAACATCCAAAAGAGGTGCCTGATAACCGATAGTACCTACAGTAGGTACTGGTGCTCGCCGAGGTAAAGTCGCATCATACACCCGTACTCGGACAATCGCTTAAGTGATGCCCACACTCCATGCATCACATCAACCCACAAGCATGCAAAAACGCGGCATTATGATCTGATTTCTGATCAATCCACCGGCCCCCATCGTGAAAGCGGACCGTAGTGCAGCGAGAATCGGGAGACCGAGGAGCAATAATGCCCAGCACTAGCAGCCGATTGGTTTGAAAAGCCCTCTCCATCCACACTTCATCCACAATTACGGCCCGTCGCGCAAAACACCGAGTAGAGATGCAGTGGACGCGTTATTCTAGAACAGAGGCCAACAGTCTCGATGATCTAAACACGGAAACTCTTAAAAACCGATACTGCCTTGCAGGTCCACAGCTGGTGGCCTTAATCGTCCTGTGGCGTTGCGGACATGCGCGGGACGGTCCTTGTCATTGTTTCGCATTCGCGTTATTATTACCACGGGAATTTCGGCGTACTTGCGCCCACTGCCATCTGAACTTTGAGACGGAAGGGAATTTTCTGCTCAACCATGGAGCCGCGATATATAGCTTCAAGAGTAGAAAAGACATCTTGCGCGAAAAGTACGTGTGTGTGGATACGGGTAAAGTGGAAAAGACGGCGGGGCTAAAACTACTACCATCAGTGTAACCATCCCTGCCAGGAGGCCTAGTTTTCATCTCGTGCCGTTTGCAAGTCTGAACGGCGAGGCTGCCAGCAGCCACGGGCTGTGTAGTCGGTCGCCTTACGCAGGTTGCCGGTCGAAGGGCCTAACATCATTCGGCATTCGAGATTTATAAAGTCGACGGGAGCGGCTGCATTGTCGACCATCAACCACATCGCTGGCTTAACATTCGTGAACTACTCGAGTGTTTCTTCAGTATGCGCTTTGTTCCTACTTTTGTTGTTGGCCTTTTGGCCAGCGCTGTTGCTGGCCGCGTTGCACCGCGGGGGATGCTCATTGACAGGCCGATGTAAGTCTGCCCGCTCGTAAACATGAGCGTATACTGATGCTCCCATACAGTGTCGCCCATTACATGGTCGGTCAACTCGATCTCGATGAGGTTGTGCAGGATATTGAGGAAGCGAGGGAGCTTGGTCTGAACGGCTTCGCGCTCAACTTCGGTGAGTGATTTTCATCCACAAAACTTCAATCGAAACCCGGGCTAACAATGAACAGATCAGTTCGCGTCTTGGTCCAACCAGACTGTTAAATACATGTTCGATCACGCAGACTATATTGGCGGTTTCAGCCTTTTCTTTTCCATGGATCACCACCCAGGCTTATTGGGGAAACCTACGAACTACGCCCAGTACTTCAACGATCACAAGGGCCGTCCTTCCTATCTTCTAATGACGGACCCTTCCGATGGCAAGACCAAGCCTGTCCTATCGACATTTGGTGGCGAGACCATTTCCAACGACGATTGGAACAAGTTCAAAGGAAAGGTGGGCAACGTCCTCGTCGTCCCTGGCTTCTCTGAGATCTACAACCCCACCGCAAACTTCTTCAATGACCGTGGCGCGATTGACGGTGTGTTCAATTGGAACTCATGGCCTGCGACAAACGAAGGCAAAGTCGCCGTATCTGACGCGACGGACCGTGTGTTCAATGACGCCGCCAACAAGGCCAAGAAGCTGTTCATGATGGGCATCTCACCTTATCAATGGAAGCATTTGGACTATAAGCAAAACTGGTACCGTCGCGGCGAAGACAACCTCGAGAACCGGTTCGGTCAGATCCTCAGTGTCCAGCCTGATATGGTGCAGCTTCAGACCTGGAACGATGCCGGCGAGGGCCATTACATGGGACACCTGCACTCGACGCCACTGAACGAAAACACAACGAAGGTCATAACAGGGTACGACCATACTGGATACTGGCAGATTCTGAAACCGTTCATCGCTGCGTGGAAGCAAGGCGATCGTACAACAGCTAACATGTATCCCACGAATGGCAAACCTGTCCAAGGCACTTTCTGGCACCACACTCTTACCGTCAATGGCAAATGCACCAACGACGAGGTGCCGCCTTCCGCAGACATAAAAAAGGCAGCTGAAGATGCCGTGTCTGGCGTTCTACTCGTCGCCAAAGGCCAGACGAATCTCATCGCTGTTGTCAACGTTGGCGGAAAGAAGCTGGACCAAACGCAGAAACTCAAGCCAGGATTTAACAAGTTCAAGTTCACCGGCCTGGAGACGTTGGTCCCAGGTAAGGTGCAGTTGGAGGTTTGGGATGGAAGCACCATGGTGGGAGGCGGGTATGGAAGTATTGAGGTGACGAAATCGAAGCCGCTTTGCAACTACCAGTTCCAGGTCGTTGCGGTGCCTTCATAGATATTTCTTGAGTAGAAGGGCAGACTCCGTGTCGACGGCTGGGTGCCGGCGTAGCAGGCAAGTAGATGTTAGGGAACACTTTCAGATAGTCAATGCATAAGTGTTCGATGAAAAGTTTCCGAACTGTACCTGCAGCGTGCTTACTGTGCCTCACATTGAAACAAATGAGCTCATCTAGCGTTTCTCCATGCTGCATGTGCCTGTGTGCGCTCTTAGCCGGTTAAGCGACGCCGTACAAAACGGTATTGCAGATGTGTGATTGACGCATGTTTGAGTACATAGTGCTATATTGAAGCACTATGAACGAGACTATCTGAGGCGCAGTACTGTAGTATTGAGTCGAGATCCCATGTCGTCTAGGTCAACAATCTGGAAGAATTAGAGTGATCAGTGTGCATAACGCGATTTTCGACTAGGTTTGCAGGTATGTCGTCTCAGTGCACAAGCTCATGTTATGATCGACCAGCGCAAGGGTTTGGCCAAGCTGTTGGGTCTGCGTAGCCCCTCTGACGGCCTGCGGCCACGGGGGCGATCACGTTTGCGAACCCTGATTGCGCGGTATTACTATGTATGAAGCCGATCGGAAGCAGAGCCGAGGGCGCTGGATTCGCTGACCTTGATAGAGAAGGTGCGATGGAAAATGTAATGAGCGGGATGGCGCGGATGAGCTACCACGAGGCCATTGGCGGAAGCACGACGGGATCCTTGCGATAAGAGGGAGTTACGGGGCAAGGCTGCACATCGTGGTATGGGTACGAGGCTACCGTGTTGTCGGTATCGGTAATTGGCGATAGCCTGGACAGAGTCAGAAGCTTCGGCGCATCCCGCGTAGCTCCACGGCACGACTCGTCCAAAGTCTATTCTGTTGTGCTTCCAGTGGAGAGCGATCGACCTCAACTACTCCTGAACAGCGAAGAAACTACTCGGTTAGCGATTGGTTTGGAAAGAGTAAAGTATGCTGCAGTTGGACATGTGAAAGATTGAGGTAGAGTGCATGCAGGGCTGCCACATTTGGCATAGCTCTTGATCCGAGCCCTGATGCGCCGTGCCGGAATATTTCTGATATAGAGGTATGACCGGAGCGGACGATAAGCTATAACTGACACATGTAATCATTGGGTGATTTTATGTGATGAGTACAGACTCGAGTTGGAAGGGTTTCTCTCTGACACGCCTGATTGGAGGTGCGGCGAGCGGCTGCCGTGATGGAAAGGCTGCTCGAGTCCACTTGGGCTGCGCAGAACTGGGTAGAGTTATCCGTGAGAAAACAGGGCCGCCCAGGGTGTTCCGAAGTAACGGATATGGGCAGGAGGCCGTGATAGGATGGCAGAGATACGTTGGCGATGTTTGATCGTGTTTGAGTATACATCACGCGATGCCTCCCAAGAGCGACTAGGATAGCAATCGTGTCTGGTAATTGTGTGACTGGGCGTTGATTGACGATTGATAGTTACACACGGAAATGGTGAGAGTGGGCCGAAGGCAAATGGGATGGCTTCAGGGGTGGTGGGCACAAGCAAGCATGGTGGCTTCGAGGCCGTTTGTGGTGGCTTGCAGGGCCGTGACGCACGGGCACCTCTCGCATGCCTCTAGCCGCGACTGGGCGGTGCACCTCGGGTTAGCATCATCAACCCCAACAGGCCCTGCGCGCTCTTGGGACGCCGGCAGTGAGACGTGAGATTTGTTTTGGCGCATCTCTGGGGTTGGTCGATAGCGCCGCGCATCACTGAGGCATGCTCCCGCAAAAGCACCTCCGAGCAATTGCGAGCAGGCGGAGCCATTGAACCCTCTGCTGCGGCTCGCTGGTCCCTCATCCTCACCCCACGCACTCGCGCTGTCAAAAAGCTTTGGCTCCCCAGACCGGACCTGCATGCCCAGTGACATGCCTACTGCCTGCTGGACCCTCGTGCATCTATCCGAGACGTTGCCTCCGTACCCGTAAACACTCATATACGTGCACCTCGCCTGCCGTAGCGCATCTGTACCACGGCAAGTGGAGATACAAGACACCATGTCAGGGTAAGCCGCGATACCTGCTGTCTTAGTAGCCTTAGTAATACTTCAGACGGAATCGCTAACATGTCCAGTTCCATGCGCGAGTCGCTGAAGGCTCTGAACACGACCTTCGCGGCCACTACCGTCCCCTACCCTCTCCCCGACGAGCTCTATGCGACCATAGAAGCCTTCCTCGAGCGCTATGACGACATCGACGACCACGACTCCCAGCGCTTTCACGATGATCTCCAC